TACACAATCAGTTCTTGTTTAGTAAATCAGTCTGAAAACAAGATCAAAAAGACTTTTTGGCTGATATAAGATTTTAAAACTTGGTAAGATGGACAGTTTTGCAGTGCGTGCTGTAGAAGTACTTCGTTTGTTTCAGTTCATCTGGTGTTTTTTACGTTTTGATTTAACTGAAGAGTCCTGAAATGTTTTCCCTGCAGGAACAAGCAGGCCATGTCCCGGGTGTCCAAGTCCAACCTGTTCTGCTTGTTCCGCACTCTGTGCCAGAAGTGCAGCCGCTCCGACCTCCTCTGCCTGCCCTCCTACGCCCAGGCCAAGATGTCCGCCCTGTCCTTCCAGCTGGCCCGGCAGCAGTTCTTCAGAGCGCTCAGCGACCACGGCTACGGCGCCTGGATCAGCAAACCCATGGAGGAGAAGAGCTTCGAGGCGGCGGAGGGCAACCGAACCAACGCCGTCTTCCCTCTGGGATACGATAACCGAGAGGAGGCCATGGAGTACAATCAGGAGGTGCAGATCAGCGCAGGGTTCTTTAATTAATGACATGTTGGGGGGGTAGACAAACAGAAAGCAGGGCTTCGTGTTGTAAAGGAAAAGAACAATCAGAGGGCAGAGATGTGTGGTCTGAGGGCCGGAGGCTGCAGAGACATGAGAGGGACAGAAGGAGCTCACACCTGCAGGCTCCACAGGTAAACCTGTTAAATAACATCATGACATCACTTTCTCTCCATGTCAACTCACCTGCTTCATGCTCACCTGTTAACTGTTAGTTCTTGTTCTTAAAACTGTTTCACATTTCTCTAAAAACAAGTTCCTGTTTTAATGTTTTCACTCTGAAACTGTTTAAAATGACAAACCAGACCAAAGTTTTCTGTTCTTATGACGACGTTTTATTTGAATTTTGCTCCAGGAGATCAGGCTGATTTGGATCGGTTCTGAGTTCTGATTAAAGGTTTGTGTGAACAGATAGCATCCTACCTGTTGCAGATGGTGTTTGAATCTGATCGGAACCAGAAATTAAGGGTTTGAAGGTGATTTTTTTTAAACTTTTATTCTGCCATCTATTTTGCATCACAGTCCAAATCCAAAACAGTTCTTATTATTTTCTGGATATTTTGATCAAAACAAGCTAGTAAAGGTCCGTTACTGATGAGCTGGAAGTAAATGTGTAAAATTGTGAACTCTGATGCTGACGTCCTGCAGTGAGCTCTGCTCTGTTTTCACTTCTTTAACAAACCGTCTCACTGGACAACTTACGAACATTTTAAAGACGTCTTTGTTGAAGACGGATTTGAAAAATAAAAAAATCAACAGGAAGCTTCTTTTCTGCGTGTAAATAATGTAATTCTAACAAACTGTCCAAATATATAAGTTTTATTTGCAATTTAGACATAAAAATGTTTCATAAGTTGTCCAGTGTGACAGGGCCTTTGGAGTCGACTCAGTCAGTATCTGAG